TGAACATATCAATCTGATAAACTGAATTTTAATTTTGCTTCTCCTACTCAAGTTTAACCACCGGACTTACATTATGCCTGCTTATTCATTCTTCTTTAAATGAAATAAAATAAAATAAAACAAACGATACTTTTTTTTTATTTTAACTTTGAAAATAAGTGATGATTAGGACAAAATAACATGGTAGAATAGATCAATAAATTGAATTTATTGTACATGCAATTTTTTAATATGCATATATTGAAAATAGACTAGTTTGTTAGTCAAATTATTTGACCCACTTATTAAATTGAGCTAGGTCTATCATTAAATTTAACTAAATTTGAAGTAGTTAAAGTTGTCCATATTCCAACTTGATTTGAATTTGTCATGGTCGATTGCTTGACACAACTTGGAGCGATAATGATTTAAATTACCTCTCTATTCTACTATTTATTATAATATGTATTTGAAAAAAAATGTCGATCATTTGTATAACTTTCTTTCAATTTCAGATTTGTCTTATTTATTCTAATGAAATATCATAAACAGTCATATTGATATTGATGAATAAAAATTGAAAAATTTAAATTTAATTAATAATAACATTCATATAATCCATTAGCAATATCTTTTAAAAATAAAACTAATTTAATCATTTTTATTGATGAAAAAAATATTAGAAACGTCTTATATCAAAAGATAAAGTATAAGCTGTAAAACAACAAAAGCAAGTGTCAGCTGTTCATTTTGTCCACTTTCTGCGCATCCAATACAAGTTGCTGCATTTAGTGTATTTATTGTGACTGTTGTTAGTATTTTTTTTTAATTCAACATATTACATCTCTATGATATAATATATTATTATAATTAAATATCATTAATTTTATATATTTTTGTACTTACACATAATATTGAAGAAATAGTTTGCTATCATTTGGTTAACACGTTTGAACAAAATTTACTTGCAAATGATACATACAAATTTAAAACATATTTTAGTCGTAGTTTCTAAAATTCTCATGAATATTTTTTCTGAAATTAAATTTGCAGGAAATACTGGGTACTTAACATCATTCAAATTGAACTTTGTTTGCATTATATTCCAAGTGAACTCAAACTACAAACAAATGGGCCTGTAATGAGTGGATAATCATGTGTGACCATGAGAAACAGATGGGCTTTTTTTAATATGTTTATTGACCCTTATAAGAAAACTGAGGCTTTTTCTATTGTACCCACGCTTTCTAAATGCACTTCCATGGATGATAAGGATGTGAATAAAAGAGAGAAGTGTTTTATGCATATAAAAGTGGAATCATCTACATTTATTCTTCCTTCGATTGTATTACCGTCGTACTGTCCCATCAAGCTTGAAACAAGTTCTTAGTATTATGTTTTGTTATTTTCTCTCGTTTTTAATCTGTTATACGAGATTTCAAATTAAGTGATTTGTAAATTTGTGGGTTATGCAATTTGAAAATGCTTTAATGCATAAATGAAATTGGATTTGATGTTCCAAAGCAATATATGAAGTTTTTACTATTCACATAATTAAAAAAAAATGGAATGATCATCTTGTGACGAGTAGAAATGATAGGTAGGTTGGATGAATGTGAGTTTAATTATCTTATTTTTATTTTTAGAATAAAAATATATTTTCATTCTTATATATAATGAATATAAATTTTTTTATTTCATTTCTTGATAATAAATATAGTTTATTATTTTGGATAGTTTAAGTCGAGTGTGTATCTTTGGTAACCTCCAATAAATAAATAAATACTAATTTATATTTAAATTAATAAATAAATTATTGTGCATAACAATTTATTAATATATAATAATGTAATTAATTACTCTATCTGTATACATTTTTTACTTGTTAAAATGTAGTGGTAGCAGATTAGCAATTTTTGTCTTGGGTAATAATTTTATTATAAAAAGTTGGACCTGACGAATTCATTATCTTTCTCAGCACAGTGTTAACACCCAACAAACAGAAACCTTGTGCTATGTTCTAACCATTTTTTGAAGCACACTTATTTGCTAGACAGAGAGCATGTGTTCTTTGTCTTTGCCAAAATTAACCTCGACTTAAACAAACTTTAAAGAAACCCTGAAATATCTGATCTTAAAAGCAACAAATATTTTGTTGTTGTGTGAGATTTGATTTGATGGGAAAATATCTTGAATCTGCGGCGAGGCTGGAGGAGCTATCGCGGATTGTGTCATCTGCGAAGCCCAATATCAGGCCGAAGGGGACGCTACCCAGATCGCCCAGCCGTGTGGTCACGCCTCGAAGTGCGACCCCAATTGGTGTTAAGTTCGAGCTTGCCAAAAAGATGGAACCTTTGGAAGAATGTCGGACGCCCCTCGCCAAGGTTGTTGCCGATTGCGCCAAGCGGTGGTTCCAGGACACGCTCAAGGAGGCCAAGGCTGGGGACACTGGCATGCAGGTTTTGGTGGGCCAAATGTATAACTCTGGCTACGGTGTTCCAAGGGATCCCCAAAAGGTATTTTCTTTCTTCTTCTACTTCTATCATTCTATGTCATTTCCTGTTCAATATATTAATAGAGGGAAATTGGAAATTTGGTACTGGCTCTTTTGCCCGAAATCCCTTTTATCGTATTGTCATTTTAATCAGATTGTTATCTATTTTTAAAAAATGCGCGAATTCAATTGCCTGTTTCTGAATGTTTATTTGTGATGCTGTTTTTCCTTATGATTGTTTGGACAAGTTTTGTTATACGCACTCACAGTTATGAAAGCTGTTTAAGAGTCGGTGGTACAAAACTCCTTGTTATAAGTTAGCTTTCTACAGTTAATACCGGAAACCTGTGAAAGGACCTTCATATGTTAAAGCTTTCTGACAATCTGAATTCAAGAACTCAGCTGACTGAAAAGCAGTAAGAGAAAAGATCACTTGAATTGTTTGACCTTGGTTTTTTCTTTTACTTTCTTTCTTACCATGAACACGTTTACTCAAACATATCCTGAATATTGCTTTGTGGCCGTAAGACCTACGTGACTACACTTAATTTGAATTGAGTAATTGCTATACTCTTTTCTGCTCCTCAATTTCAGGTTACTGACTACACTATAATGAGCTTTGTTTACAGGGACAAGTTTGGATTAGTAAAGCATCAAGAAATCGAAATTCAGTATGGAAAGTGTGTGGTAAACGGCCAGGTAAGCTCTAACATTTGTTGGATTGATGAATTTTGGGTGTATGTATCCTGATCGATCTCTGCGTTGTTAACTTCAGGTTACAGAGCAAGTGATTCAGATTCATGTGATCAGGAGAACAAGGATAAATCCTGTCCTTAATTTGCGAGTACAACTTTTTTCTTATAAAGGGATTTAATTTATTGAAATTCTGTGGTATAGTATATGTTAACTTAATATCACCGATGCTACTGGTTATTTGTTGTAACATCCGAAACATAAGTCAAATTTGTTAACTGACATTTGTTCTACAATCCCTTGGTTGTTGTGTTGTTCATTTTCTATAAGGCTTATTTATCATTCCTAAGTGAGTATTGTGTTCTTTCCTCTTTCTTTCCCCTAAACTTCAAATCGATGCCCAATTTATAAGGCTCCTAGTTTACTAACCTGCATATGGGAGTTTGAGAGGAATTCTTGCACTGAGACTTTCATCCATACTCCTCAATTCTGTGTGAGATCATAATTTACCAATGTTATTTTCTGGAATTAAGCTGCATGAAACTGTTGTTCATAAGCTGCCCACTTTGGCACTACTGCAATTAGTTGATAAGGTGCCTGAAAGTAAATGTGGGTTTGATTCAGTTCATTTTTGATGAAATAATACTTTTTTTTATCAGCTTGCTAAGAGAGTTTATATGTGCGTACATATAATAAAACAACTATTTCACATAAACAATCATATACTAAACATGCACTATCTAGCAATATTATCAGTAATCATATGTTGCCATTAGTATGAAGTCTTAAAAGAAAGACCAAGCATCTGGGCACGGGGATCTGTTTTGGGTGTTGTGTCAAAATCAGTTAATATCCAGGATGTATTGGAAGATCTTGTGCACAAATTTTTTAGACTTACTTATGACATAAGTACTTGTGTTATAAGTTTGAGTGAGTATAGAAACAACTATCAATTATATAGAATTATGTTAAACTCTATTGTTAGATGCTTAATCAAGCTATTAACCTACTAGCATGTAAGCTGTATGATAGTAAATTGGAGAACAATGGATGTTTGGGTGTATTCAGTGTTGTAAATGTGACAAGTCTTCATAGGACGTTAGGCACAGACATGAGATTCTTCATTTCTGTAGTCACTCGTTAGGTTATGTTTGGATGAAAGATGTGATTTTTTTTTAAAGAATTATGTACCATATTTCCAAATTACAAGACACAAATTAAGGAAAGAAAAACTTATCCGGCGTAAAAATACTTTGAACCTTTTTCAACCGAACCAAATATGTAATTGGTACTCCCTTCAGTTTTAAGATACGTTATATTATGTTCATAAGTCCTATTTTATATTTATATTGTTTAATTAAGAAAATGAAGATTGAGTAGAAATATTATTCTTAAGGGTAATAAGATCTGCAATTCGAGCTGTGTTGGAAATCTGGATAATTAGCTGGATTGACTTAGTTATGCAGACTAACATGTTCTTTGACATTTTATTAGAGAATCAGTAATATCACGAATATGGTAATGATATAAAATAATCCACAGTGGACCTGAGTAAACGCAGAACACTCAAAACGAAAGTAGTTTAGTCAAATGAGTTACATCCAGGAAATGATTTGTAAAATTCACTTAATGATGATAAGTAATATAGTTAGAGATAAAATCTATAATCTGTGAAAAAACTGAACTAGTAATAACTTAATTAGATAGTATACAAGACAAGCTAATCTACTCTCAAGAAACGAGAACTAATGAAACATTTCCCTGATTACAAAGTATTGATTAATTGAATAGATATTTTACGATAAATTAAGATAAAGATATATTCATTTATTTATTTATTTTTTACATATATTCATACGTTGTTTTGAGGATAAATATGATGCTTGCCGACCAAACATGCTACTAAGTGGAATCCAGACAGTTCGAAATCTTAAAATAAGAATAAAGTTTCACCTTTTGTCTCAAACGTCTCTTGTAGAAAGTAAAAGCTTCCTTAATTCACGTCAAGAATCCATTCCTCCATTATTTCACGCAGTTCCATAAACCATCACAACCCCATTTCTGTCTTCCTCCTCCACTACTCTTATCTCTCTCTCTGTACTCCTCTTTCTCTGCTTTCTCTCATGGCAAATGTAAGAGTTTTATTAATCTCATTCTTTGGTTTGCAAATTGCAACTGAGAAGGATTGTTTTTGTTGCATGTGGCCAGGTTGTGGAAGTGAAAGTTGGTTTGCACTGTGACGATTGTATCAAGAAAATCCTCAAAGCCATAAAGAAGATAGAAGGTTCTTGTTTTTCCCAGCACCAATATAATAAAACATGTACCTTTTTTTCTTCTTTCTTTGGAACCCTTTTGCTTAGTTTAAAACTTGAGGCCTTATATCATCTCTTGCAGACATTGAAACGTATAACGTGGACACAAAACTGAACAAGGTGATCGTTACTGGCAACGTCACAACAGAAAAAGTCATCAGAGTCCTTCAAAAGATTGGCAAGAATGCAATTGCCTGGAAAGATGATCAAAGCATAACTCAGTAGTTTAGGGTACCGCACTCATCCATCATTTTTCATACTATGTACGGTGGAATTTAATAATCTATAGATTGCGAACTGTTTAATTATATTATTAAATTTCAATTGCAACACTTCATATTTTTTATGTGTGTATGAATATCTTAGATTTAATTATCATTTCTGTCAATCTATACATACAAAATATTTTCAAGATACACAACATGAAATTGGAGAGATGGTCAGTGTTAGTATGTCATATGTCATGTATTGATATATGGTGAAATTTAGTCATATTTCACGTTGAACTTTACTCAGAGTTTTAGCGTCAATAGGTTTATCCTAAAACAATAATTTTTTGTTTAATCATTTTCGAGATCTAATTTTACCAAAAAGTCTTAAATAGATTTTTAATTATTTTTTTACTTAGGTCTCTATTTTTTAAAAATTAGAGTAACTTAACACCGTTAAAATAGTTTGTGATTTTTAAAATTTTTTTATTTATTTTTTATTTATTTTTTAATTTTTTAAAAATAAAATATAAATGCTACATGTCAAAACGATTTTTTGGGTGAATGACTTTAGGTTAATGGTTTACATTGTTAATGGTCTAAATGTTCTTTTTTCACTTTAAAGTTTGTCCGTTATGTTTGAAGTTACCTTTATAAAGTATTTCGATTTTAAAGTCAATAAAGATTCGATATCTCAAACTATTAAATGTTATCATCTATCTCTTTATTTCAAACTTATTATAAATTTCGAAATGAACTATGAATTATAGCTGGTTGACATATGGACTTATTGGTCACAATTGTACGATTTTAAAAATAATGTGTGGTCATGTGACATGATTGACTGTTTTAACCATCTAATATACTTTTAATTTAATTATTAATTAAATTTCTTTTATCATAAATTATAGAACCTATCTCATATTATATCATAAATAATTTGAAGCAACATATAGGTTTTCTTCATTTATTAGATATTTTTGCAAGTAAAATTCACGGGAGATAATTATTATCCGTGGATATTTACTATTTGTGGATAACGGATAACGGGTATTTTAATACCCGTTTCTAATCAGGTCGTGTACATAGTATACTACCTGACTCATAGGTACCGTTACCCGCAAAAAATAATAAAAAAAATTATTTTATATATTTTTAATTAAATTTAATTAAAAATAAAATAAATTTATATTTTATTAGGTTAAATTTAATCAAAATTAATTTTAATTTATATTATATATATATATATATATATATATATATATATATTGTAGTTTTATTTAAATTTTATTTTTAAAATGTATAAAATATTTTTTTTTTATTTTTGCGGGTATCCGTGGATACCTGCGGATTTTAAAATACTTGCAAATATTTTCTAAATGGGTACCTACGTGGGTAGCGAATTAGATAACGAATACCGTTTTATCCGATAGGCAGGTTGCAAGTAGACACTATCCGTGCCTGACCCGACCCGTTGTCATTTCTAATTACTACCACATTTGTAATATTAATTATCTCTAATTTCCACAATTCAATCTCTTTGTGCATCCATACACACAAATATTGTAATTTTTATGACAACTAATGCTATCAAGATTCAAAAAATAGAATTTAGGAAGGAAAGTATGTTATGTCATGATGCCAATAAAAAAATGTCAGATATTAATATATCCTGAATTTTTTTAGTCATATTTAGTGTTAGAGTTTACTACTAGTCTTAGCATAAAAAACATTTATTACAACAATAATTATTTCAAAAGTTATCATTATTTAAATTATTAAAATTTATTTAATAACACATGCGTTAGGTATAGAAACAAGAAAAAAATGAACGGAGTTAAAAAGAACATGAAAATTGATATTTTAAAGTGGTAGTCTCAAAATGTTTTATAAATGTTTGAAAATGATGAATCCTCATAGTTCATTTTATAAGTTATTGTTGGAAACAACTATATTAACATGTTAATTAATTTTATTGTAAGATTATACAATGTTATACTAATAGTAATGAATGATGCCTTAGTTTCCATATTCATAGTTTTTGTGAATTTACTAAAAGTTCTTTGTTTCTCTGTTAACATTAACATTTGTATCTTGAAAACAAGGTTTATATATATATATATATATATATATATATATATATATATATATATGTATGTATGTATATTCTCTCAGGTTACCTTAATTGAAGGAAAACCGTTAAAATGTGTGAAATGCAAAATACAAGGTCAACCTCTACTATGTGTAGTATAGTTTTTGTGTGGGTTTTGAACATTGTAATCCTTATTCTTTCCTCATTCATCCTCTCCCATTTTTTCAAGGAAAACTAATTTTAACATAGACATAATAACAAGAAGATCTTATTAACTTTTCCTTCGTATTCATTCATGCGCACACATATGTTATGGATGCTGTATCTGATGTTCAAAACAAAACATTGGTATGCCAAAATCCCTACAGCTATGGTCACGAGAATGTCTGGCAATCAGGCAATCCATTAGAATCCCCCACATGTCTTTTATTTATGCAGGTCTCTTTGATGACCGTAGTAACACAATTAACGGAGATGTGTCTTAAGCCATTAGGCCAATCCTCTCTGGTATCCCAAATTATTGTAAGCTTTCTTTAAACTTGATGAATTTCACTACCATTATCAATGGAAATATAGAAATGTTGGTACTTGCTATAGTAATTAGTGGTAACAAATTGTGCATGGTAACAGGGAGGAATGTTGTTTGGCCCTTCAGCTTTAGGGCAGATAAAGGTTATACACAAAACCTTGTTCCCGGTAAAGGGTAGTGCTGTGCTTAAAACACTTTCATATTTTGGCCTCATGTTCTACTACTTCTTATGGAGTGTTAGATTAGATCTTTACACGGTGTTGAAGACAGAAAAGGTAGCTGTGGTTCTTGCTATATCTGTATCCATATTTACATTTCTTATCCCTACTGGACTCTCGCTCCTGTTGAAGACCTATGTTGCAATGGAAAAAGAAGTTGCAGACTCACTTCCATATATCGGTATCTCACAGACCTATACTATATTCATTAGCATAGCAGTGCTCTTGACGGATCTCAAAGTCCTTAATACTGACATAGGACGATTAACCATATCAGTGGCAATTCTTACTGATATGACTGGCATGGTTTTGTCAATGTTTACTTTTGCAGTAATTCAGTATACGGACGGTGATATTCTCATACTAGTATTTGCTGCTCTATCCTCATTTGTATTCCTGCTTCTTATTGTATTTATGATGAGGCCAATGATACTTTGGATGGTAAAGAACCCAGGAAAAGGTTCGACTAATGAAATTTGCACTGTCGGTATCTTTGTCTTCGTTATCCTTTCTGGACTTGTCAGTGAACTAATCGGACAGCATTTTTCCATGGGACCGATAATTTTAGGTCTGTCTCTTCCAGAAGGGCCACCCATAGGAACATCTTTGATGAAAAAACTTGAGATAATGTGTATGGATTTTCTTTATCCAATCAGCCTAGCTGTTAACGGATTGGTGGTTGATATATTCAATATAAACATTAATTCTCTATGGATTATATGCCTCATTATAGTTGTGGGTTTCTTTGTAAAGATTGGTGCTGTCATGTTGCCAGGATACTATTTGAATATATCCATGAAAAAATGTTGGATCATTGGTCTCCTTCTAAATGGAAGGGGTATATGTGAGCTTGTCCTCTTCAATCTGTGGTTGGAAAGTCAGGTATGTATAGTGCATTCAATGTATGTACATATTCATTGGTGCGAAAAGATATGTATTTGAGCTTGTTTTCAAAGTAACCTTAAAAACTGATACAATTTTTTTATCAACCTTTTTATTCTCTGTATGGCAGATAATAAATGAAGACGAGTTCTCTGTGATGGTTATCTCTGTTATAGTAATAAATGTTATCTTAGTAACAGTCGTAAAATTCATGTACGACCCTTCAAAACCATATAATAATGTAAGCAGATGTACAATTCAACACAGTACACGAGATTCTGAGCTCCGAATTATGGTGTGCATTGACGACAAGGAAACACTCCCTACAATCCTGAACCTGTTAGAAGCCTCCTATGCTACTAGAGAAAGCACGATTGAGGTTACAGCGTTAGTCCTAGTTGAGCTTCAAGGAAGAGCCAGACCTGTTCTTGTTTCTAACCAATCCCATGAGAGTACACATCAGGTCTTATACGGCTCAAATCATATGGATAACGCCTTGAGGCAATACGCACAACAAAATGAAGAACATGTCTCCATGAAATCTTACACTTCAATCTCCTTATTTGAAACGATGCATGATGATATTTGTAGAATATCACTGGAACGCGAGGCCAACATTTTGATCATGCCGTTCCATAAGAGGTGGGAAATCGATGGCACTGTTGAGGTTGCACATAGGTCTATCAGAACCATAAACATTAAAGTCCTCCAAAAGGCACCATGTTCTGTGGGAATTCTAGTTGATAGGGGCATCTTGGGGGCCACTCCTTCACTCTTGGGGGGAAGAGAACCATATTACGTTGTCGTGTTTTTCATTGGTGGTGCAGATGACGTGGAGACACTGGCTTATGGCGCTAGAATGGCTAGGCAAGAGTATGTGTGGGTAACTGTGGTTAGGTTCCTTCTATTTGGTGAGGAAAATTCTAAGGACAGAAAACGTGACAGTGATCTTATAGATGAATATAGATACCACAATGCTGGAAATAATAGGTTTGAGATTTTGGATGAAGTTGTGAAAGATGGGATAGATATGTCTATATGCATAAGAAGATTGGTGGATTATTTTGATCTTGTGATGGTGGGGAGGCGACATTCACAATATGCTATTCTTCAAGGACAGGATAATTGGAGTGAGTGTGAAGAGTTAGGGGTTATTGGGGACATGCTAGCATCACCAAATTTTGTCACCAAGGCATCGGTGTTGGTCATACAACAACAGAGAATGAGAAAGAGAGTTATCAAACCTAGTGTCAATTTGAATCGGATGTCAAAAGATCAACTCATGCATAGTGTTCCAACTAACGACTCGTTAAGTCCTTCGTGTACTATTTTGGTAGACAAGAATGACAAAATGTAAATACATTCCTACTAATTAGGATAACTCTTTTTTTTCTTTCAAATCATTTAATTTCCATTGAAAAATTAAATTTCATCCCGTACAAGGTTAA